GGGCCGCCGAGCCCTGGTACCGCGACGAGGCCGCGCCGCCGTTCGAGGCCGAGGGCGCCGCGGCCGGCTGCGCGGCCGCGGCGCTCTCGACGATCGTGTCCGCGTGCGCGGAGCGCGGGAGCCTCTAACAACATTAGAACTCCGACTCCCCCGGTTCCTCCCGGGCCCCCTACGTGTAGAGACGCGTCGAAACACCATTAGCTCGTCCTCGCCGCGCGGGAGGCGAAGCGCCCGACGAAGCCGAGCGTGCGGAGGTTCAGGACGAGGCACCGGAGGCACTTCAGGGGCGCGACGACGAGGTCGAGGAGCAGCGCGGTCGCGGTGACGCGGTGCTCCGTGTCCTTGTCGAGGCTCAGGAACTGCTTCCGGTCCACGCGCTTGAGCACGTGGATGAAGAGGGGCGCGATGGCCAGGAGCACGATGGTCGTGGAGAGCACGTCGAGGTACGTGTGGCGCGTCACGAGCTGGAGGTGGTGCGCGCGCGCGGCCACGAAGAGCGCGACCTCGGACACCTGCGCGAACGCAAAGCCCGCGCCCGTCGCCGCGGCCCGCGAGAAGCCCAGCGCGTAGACCATGGGCCCGACGACGGCGACCTTGATGACGACGACGACGGTCACGCGCCCCATGATGGCCCCGAAGTGCGCGCGGACGTACTGCGGCGACGCGACGAGGCCGAGCGACGCGACGTACATGCCCCCGAACAAGGCCGCGAGGGGCGACACGGCCCGCTTCGCCTTGTCGACGTGGGGCGTGCCCACGAGCACGAGCCCCGCGAAGAGCGCCCCGGCCTCGTGGCTCAGCTTGAGCCGGTCGCCGAGCAGCGCCATCGCGAGCGCGTAGCCGACGACGCAGAGGCCGAACGACGCGTCCGACGCCGCGCGCCGCGCGCGGAGGCTCGCGTTCGCGTCGGGCCGCGCGTCGGCCTCGCGGTCCCGCGTGAGGTGGCCCAGCGCGCGCGGCAGCGCGCGCCGCGCGAGGAGCACGACGACGCCGAGCGCGCCCGCGTAGCCCCCGACGACGCCGAGCATCCAGCCGCCCGGCCGGCTGTGGCTGCTGCTCCGCAGCTCGTGGACCGCCGTCGGCAGCGCCAGCAGCGGCGCCAGCACCAGATCCTGCACGCTCAGCAGCTCGACGATCGTGTGGCCGAAGCGGCTGTCCACGAGCCGCGCCTCGCGGAGCGTCGACAGCACGGTCGACGACGAGCTCAGCGAGAACGCCGCGGCGACGAGCGTCCGCTCCGCGCGCGAGTGGTCCGTGCCCAGCGCGTGCGCGACGGCGGCGAAGGCCA